ACACAGCCAATATATATATACAACCAGACTGTATCTTCAAAGGTGGCATCATCACACAGTCAATCGTGCAGTACTCTCGCAATACAGCAATGGTTCCAACACAAGACAGATCGGACAACAAAAAATGACGAACAAAAACATAGATGGATACTGAACACATGAAGACAATGACACGATACAACCTTTTCATCTAGTAATCTCAACTCCACGATCCGAACACACCCAGAGAATGCAATCGTCGATGTCCAAGAATGAATAGTTTACGTGGCTGACAAGGACACCTCGGCGATCAGTAGTGGGTGAGCATCTATCACGAACGTCGAGGTGACCATGCCAGGCGGAAATCATGGCAACACATAAAAAATGTGTGACCTATACCTTCGTCCTACCAGGGCATCCTCGGGCATAAGCACAACTTCCCCCTTGCATTCTTCTGCCTCATTCTGCCCAGAGTTGCGCTGTGGTCCTTCAAGACTCACCAATCTCAGACTCCACAACAGGCTCGACTTATTTCGTCGTGCTATTTCTCATGAAAGACTGAACGCGACGTGCAACTCTCTCCTTGGAACACCGGCTTCGAACACTATGCAGCAGCGGCATTATTGACAGCCCAGTGCAAGAACTTAGTCAAACGAACTGGCTCTACTATGCGAAGAAAGGAAAGGCAGCCATTACAAACGCCATGACACAAGCAAAGAGAATCAAAATACAAAGCCCAAAAATTTTAAAGTGGAAAAAGTACAAATGTTACATTTGCACGCTTCAAGTTGCGCTTACAAAAGAACTACAGTCCATTCAGAAAAAAATGAACTTCTAGCTTTTGGCCATAAATGGGTCAAACGTTGAGTTTTTTTAGAATTTTTTTCTGCAATCCTCTATGGAATCCTCTTCCAATTATGTTTCTGAAGTTTTTTTCTCCAAAAAGCAAGCCATAACAAGAATAGGATTTCGGCCAGGTTTTGCCCCCAAAGCATTGAATTGGGAAAAACCATAAAAATCCAGGCCGTTTGACCCCGTCTGCAACAGTGCATTGTGAGGTTCGAACCCCAGTTCAGGTACCCTTTTTGGACCCTTTTTCAAATTTCAAATTTCGCAGCACTGCACTGTGTACGATGAAATCACGAAAAATCGCCAAATACGGGAGCTCGCCAGAGCCAGAGCCCATCTTTTTATGAATGGACTGTAGCACGCTTCCCTCGCGTGCCAGCAGTAGGTACCTTTTTCGATGCGCGTGCATGTGGGCCGAGCCACCTTAACGATCTCCGGATTTTTGTGAGTTGGCGAGGTGAAAGTCTAACGAATTCTGTCTCAAAACTGGCAAATACTGTAGTGCCTTGTATTAAAGCCCGTCTCATATAAAAGCCTGTCTTGAATTGCAGCCTGATTCTCAAGATACACTGTCGGCACATAAGCCTGGTTTTAGTGTTGACATACATAGAAATACCTGTCTTGTATAGAAGCCTGTCTCATGTAGAAGCCTGCAAAATTTCACCAAGAAAGTCATAGAAGCCGTGGCTTTTAAACACGACTTTACGGTAACTGCACATGTTCATATCGTTTAGTACATAACGACTTCAAAAGTTAACGATTTTTAAATTCGTTAAATCGTTAGAATTAAATGCCCGTTAACATTACTGGTCTTACAGTAACCCGGTTTTGGGAATGACCACACCTGTTCCCCTCTGGTGTGTTCTTTCAGGGATCTGTCCAACAACAACATCTCCATCATCGTACCGAAAAACCTCAGAAGAATCGGGTTTGCTGTGCTAACAATGTAAGTAGACGAGGAGGTGGTCAGGGTGAGAAGAGAAGTGTTCAGTTTGAGCCTGGGTGGTGTTGTTCAGTGTTTCTCAGACCTTCGCCCCTTTCCAACTCTTCATACTCGTTATTATTTTATAGAAAAGAAAAAGGACCAAGGAACTTGCCAGTTACACCACAATGTCCAATAACACCAGTTACTAAGCAATCAGCTCACCTTCCCCTCCTTATGTTATTTCTATAACTTAGAACCTTCCAAGTTGGAAGGCTGTTGGAGTGCGCATCTCAGATGCGGCAGGCGAAATAGCATGTCATCGTACATTTGAGACCAGCGGGAAGAAGATGACGACGTCCACTAATTTAGTATCTGTGCACACGAATGTGCTGTGTGTGAGACTTTGTGTGTCAGCTATGACATCAAACCCTGTGGTTCCATGCCTACCGTGTAGGTCAGAACCATCCCGCAAGGTTTGAATGACGTAGGTAGAACGATCGCGCTGCGATCCATACCTTTTGAAATTCTGTGCGTAGTATACCTTCCATCATTGAAATTTCGAATTTCTTGCTAAGAGGGGTAGCTTGCAACCTCGATATGGCTTGTTCCAGGTATGCTGTGAAGCGAAACCCTGTTGAAGTAGTGGTGGGGATCTGCCATGCAACTGCTACAACAAAAAAAGTGATTCGATCTGAGAAAGCGTGAGACCGCGAATCTCCGTTGAATATTGCGTATTTCAAGCCTTTTCACGACGAAGATGGAGTTCTTTTTGGAGATGGACGTCGCGGCAAAGGACATGGTTTCCGACTTCTGGCGTCTGGTGAAGCCAGGGATCATTTGTCCAGTCAGGTCGGCAGCCTAACCGTCGGTAAGCTTGTGTTTAGATCCCGTTTTGCTCAATGTGGTGGATCACAAAAAAATTGATATCGCAGAAATTGAACTCTGCATCGTGCGTACGGCATTTTACATTCAGAAAATCGCAAAGTGTCTCTAATTCTCTGTGTGGCCGTCCTATGCAACGAGAAACTCCATTCAGGCTTCTATGTCCTCTGCCTTCTTGATTGAATGTCCACAACAATCGAGGACGGCTTTGCAATGAAAAATACAGCTATACTGGAGCTGAGAAAAAGAAGAAAAAACGTGCTCATGATGGGACTCGAGTACACGCGTACTATTCCAACAGGTTTTATGGATGTCGCTCATAGATGCGTAATTTCGCGTGACGGTGCTAGAGCTGTTAGCCAGTTAGTTGTAGAACATCAGTACCGTCGGTCAATGTGGTGAAATGTTATCGCATGAGCTGATTGTTTACTAACTTGCGGTATTAGTGGACATTATAGCGTAACTTGTAGTTCCTTGGTCCTTTTTTTCTTTTCTATAAATTATTATTCTCGTTGTTGACATACCTGCGGTGAACCGTTTTGGACATTGAACAAATTCATGGTTGGCTCAAGACTCGGTTAGACTGAGTTATCAACATCCGTATCAACATCATCACCCTGCAAAGATCAAAGGTGACTACGGCAAGCCGGGAAACGAAAATAGTAAAATCTTACTGCTCTTCCCCCCCCCCCCCCACCCCATGACTGCTCCCCCACCCTGGCTGCTCCCCCGCCCTGACTCCCCCCCCCCTTACTGCTCCTCCACCCCCTCGACCCGACTGCCACCCCTTACTGCCCCCCCCCCTTACTGCCCCACCCCCCCTAACTGTTCCTCCCCCCCCCCCCCACTTTACTACTCCCCTACTCTGACTGCTCCCCTACCCTGACTGCTCACTGCATAATGCGGTATTTTTCTAATAATCATTCGGAACGTTTCCTCTGTATATGCAGCAATATCTCACGAAACCATCTGGCAGTAATTCCTGCAGACTCCTTTAATTTTACCAGGAGACTAGAAATCCTGTAAGTCATGTAACGTATTTCCGTTGTATAAGCCGCACCCAGATTTTTGCCCAGAAATATAGACATCTACTCTATTGTAAAAGCAGAAGAAGAAAACACAAGGAAACGAGTTATGAAGCAACTATCTACGACTGTAACAAGATAATAATAAGGTGTCAGAAAGTGCGGTAACAGCCTTATTCTCTTGTCAGAGTGGTGCATGGTTGGATCGTAACTCGTTTCATTGCGTTTTCTTCTTCTATTTTACATTTATTACTGGCTCATCCGAGGTAAATCTACTCCATTTATCTCCTTTAGTTTGAGCATTGTAGTATAAGCAATAGCGACTTTCTTTGGGTGAATCTCTGGGGTTAACCCTGTACCGACCACAGAGGCATTGAATTGGTCAAATTTGACCAATTAGACTCCCAAAACCATGCCGGCTGTTATGCGAAGCATCAACCGACGGGGGAATCCCGCGGCTCACACACGGTCAAGACAGGATGCTGGCGCCAGCTGAAACTCGTGGTCGAAAAATAACTGAAATGCGTGCACGGCATCAATACCATAAGTTTCCGTGAAGAGTCATGAGATGCGATTCTGCTTGGACGGTCAGGTCTTTTCGCACTCCCATAAAGTTACTGGCAAGGATGAAGCTGTCCTTTGTGCTGAGACGGACACCAGCAGCCTAAATGCGTCATTTGAACTTACTGAGCGGAAATATCTGGGTGTCTAGCTGCAGAAGACGATATCATTACATTAATGCACCAAGGTGACATTGATGATGGTAGTAGTGGAGAGGAGAAGGAGATCGGTCGACACAGCAGCAGTTGCCCAGAAGAGGAGAATCAGGACATCGACGTCCTGATGACGGCAGCGCCACATGGCATGCACGCAAACTTGCGGAGACATCCAGAAGTGCTTGTGGGAGTGATGCTGCCCTAGATCCTGAGCGGAACAAGCAAATGTAGTCAGTGGTGTCTATGGCCTTCGTTTCCTCACAAATGTCGATTATCGTTCCCCTCACTTGACCGCGGACTCCTGCTCAGCCGAAGAGAGGTTCCCATGACAACGCTGTGGTTTGGCGAGACAAGACTGATACACCGTAAAGCCGCGGATAAAAGCCGGGCTGATAAACATATAAGCCGCCTTCTGCATCAGGCTTTAATGCAAGCCAAGCGTGTATGCAAACCATGCTTATATACACCACTGATATTTTGCCAGGCTTGTATGCACATAGAAGCCAGGCTTCTACGCGCGACACGCATATATCTACCACTGACTACCGGTATGGCGGCAGTTTTACTATGCACCGTACATAGCGCATGCACTCTTGACCTACCAGATCCGCGCTTGCATAGAAGCCAGGCTTCTACGCGCGACAGGCTTATATGCATTTTACCCGTTTGATTTTCAGGCTTCTATCCGCGATGTGCTTGTATGCAAACCCGGCTTTTATCCGCGACTTTACGGTATCCAGGAAAGTAAAACTGAAAGGTTGCAGACTATCAAATAGAGTGCTCAATGTCGACAGGCAGAGCTAGTTCAAACAATACTAAGAGGATTAAAAGAAGTGTTTTACTCCGAGTTTCATGCACTAAACGATCATCAGAAAACAGTAAGGCCGCATTCACGCTACGCAAAAGCAACTGCGCCTGCAAAAGTATGTTGAAGGCGACTTGAAAAAAGTCTGTTCACACACGATATGCGATGCGCGTCGCGTGCTGCACTTTTTACGTTCGCCCTGACGAGTGTGTCATAATATTTCAACTCCACATTTTCTGGCGATCTGAAAACACATCAAATTTTCGTTGATCGTTCTCAATTTACCGTGGTGAAATTGCAAGGAAATCCTTCTTTGCTGACATGGATCGCCATGCCCGTGACAGACGTCGGCGGAGAGTTGCCGCAGCCCTTGCTATTTCTCCTTCCTTTTTTTCCTAGACATAATCTCTTGTAGTGATCGCGGGCCTTCCTTTTCAAATTATCCACCTTGATGTGCACACTCGCCGCAGTGAACATGACAGCCTTGATGCCGAGGTGCTGGAGTAATCATTGAGTTTGGATGCGATCTGACGCTAGTGCCACTTTTCGTTCGCTGGTATTCGCCCCAGAGCTCAATGAGCCCACACTCCAGATCGCCGGTGAACAGAACCTTCGGCATTTTGAAAAATACTCTGGAACCAGTGCAGTGGGAGAAAAATGCAGTTTCATGCTGTCGACTTCTGCTTGAAAGAAAAGTTGCCTTGTACAGGGGTATCGGAGTTGCAGAAACCTTTCAGGTAACTTTTATACTTTTGTGCCAAATTACCTTGGTTGCCAAGGAGAATGGCCTGAAAAATGGTCTATAACGCACTTTTTCAAGTAGTGTGAATGCGGCCTAACTCCAAAAATCCAAGAAAGTAGATTTTCACAGTCAATTTGGTGCTTGGACACATGATTGTTCAGGGAATTTGTAGTTCACTGCATTTAATACTGTTACTTGTGTCACATCCCTGGCTCTCAGTGACCGGACCCAGGAATCACTACGAGCGGCGACTGAATAGACGCGTGGCCTCACGACAAGCCAAACACAACCCAGGGGCCAACCAATATAGCTGGCTTGGTCCAAGTTCAACCCCACACGATCAACAGACAAGGATGTTAGCTTCACCTTGTGAGTAGTATTCAAATCCGAGCTCAAAGTAAACCAAGACAAAGAGCTGAGACCCGAGTCTCGAGTGCCCGACTAGACTGAAGTAAAAGAGAGAATGAGAGCTTCTTTTATAGTGCAATTCAGAGACATGGCGTGATCATGGCTTATAATTGTCGTCAGGGGTGGGGTTATGCCTTTCCGATTACTCTCTTAGTCTTACATCACACGTATGCCACACTCAGAGGACAGATATTACTCTATTCTTACTCCGAAGAGAGTCTCAGGAAGAAGGCAAAACAGCAAGAATGCGTACAATAGTATGCAGGCATGCGCAACCTGCGCAGTCCGTGCACGGTCCGCACACCGACCACTCGGACCCAGCACACACGTGCCAAAAGGGGCACATAGCCTACACATGGGCAGGGACAACATAATGGTATGAGGTAATCCCAGGAAGTAGGAGAACAAGTAAAACAGGAGAATGAGCAGCCAATCAGCAGAATAGCAGAATGCACGTACGGTAATCATTCGCAAAGAAACAGAAAGAACGACGTGGAGAGAAGAAAGACCAAATTGGGACGTGGGGAGCCCGCTCACCCACGTCAGAGTACAATGTGCGTATATGAGGGTCACGTTGGGGAGCCCACTCACCCAACGTGCCATAGTTCAGCGGCTTCTTATGGTAAGTTCTGCTGCACTATTGGTCTTGCTTGCGTGATACTCGGACCTCTTGCGCGGTGACGGTTTTGGCTCTTGCACACGTCTTGTCTCTTCATTTTTACACTTCGCTCTTGCTAGTCTTGGCTCTTTGCACAAAGCACCGAGGCATCGTGGAAACCTATAGAACGTCGTAGTGATGTCGTTTTGCACAAAGCCTAGAGTAACATTTCCAGGAAGTGAAACACTTCCAGGAAACGTACAACGCGAGAACCCACCTAACCAGGTTCCGGCCTTGGTTCACAAGCCATGATGTGTCACGCCAAGAAGGCATGTCACCTACGTGAGGAAGCGCGTGTCGCTCAACCTACATGCTAAGCACGTGGGACAAGACACTGGCCAAATCACGCCGTACTAAAAGGGCGTGACAGCTCAGCACAGAGCTGCTCACTAGGTAGATTCTGCTGTCACAGGACTATCGGGCAGCAGTCGTCATGTTCAGGGATGTGACACTTGTTGTCGGGTTGTTTTAATGTTGATCGTAATGTTCTCTCAGTGCTCTGGCTACTGCAAAGGTTGCCGATATGGGCAGCATTTTCATACTGAAAATGAAAATGAGTAGTCTGATTTGAAAGCTCTTTCAATATTGCGGATCAAATTTTAGTTTGCTCTTTGATATTCCATTGCAATTTTCAGGAATTTAGACCATAACTTCATCTCCAGCATTCACATTACGGCATTCCGATACACTCGAATTCGAAAATTGTAAGTTGCTACTCGTGCAATTTTATTTGAACCCTTTTGACTGCTGATCCCGTACTGTTACCAGGCTCTAGATGACAGCCAGGCTGTGAGCCCGTACTGTTACGAGGCTCTAGATGACAGCCAGGCTCTGAGCCCGTACTATTGCGGGATGAGTGTTTTGATGAGAATTTACAGGACGCACGTACCGTAAGGTCCGCTGCAAACGTCCACCCCAGCGGGTACATACTATCTTCGTCTTTTTCAGGTCAATATAAAGTTGTAGAAAACTGACATGAAGGTCGAATGCGTACGAGAACAACTGTAATGCCTACAAATAGTGCGGGGTCCCATTTCGAAAAAGAGTCGTATTTTAGAAGTTTCGTGGCAAGTAGGAGCTCACACATTTTTTAGAGCTGTTTCTGACTAAGTTGTGGCTGCTGAAGACGATAAAAGTATCGGCAAGTCTGTGCAGTTGTCCGTTTGTTAGATATGGCAATCTTCCGCTGCATACGGAAATTGTACATGTACTCGAACCCAGTCATTCCAAGGTATAGTGGGTTTCTGCATGCAGAGTCCGTCAAGAAGCATTTTGACGTTTGAAGAAAAGCTTGCTCTAGAGTGTTTTAGAGCCGAATCAGGCGGGCAGACCCGAAGCGGAACAGGCACGATCTGAGCAAGTGTATGGTGTGCCAAGATTATAAACCTGACGCGACGAACAGGCGCTTGGCCGAGAAATTTACTCAGTGCGCCACATACGAGGCAGGGTTTAGTCTGCTCGTACACGCAGCCACGCTAGAATATTGAACGAACTTGAAAATCAGGATGGTATAGCGAATGAGATCAAGTATCACCGTAGCTGTTTTTCACTCTACGTAAACAAGAAGTCTCTGAAACGTCTTGCTAATCATGCAGTGGATTCTGATCTGGCCCAGAATGGCGATGTGTAGGCGCAGGCATTCATGAAATTGTGTGAGTGGATTGAAATTAGTGTCCTGACTCAGAGTAACTCCGCAACAGAGTTCACATTGACAGCGCCATGTCTTGGAACATCCAGATGGATAGGTGCGTTGCCCGCCTCAACAAGAAAGTTGGTGTTCTGTGGCGGATGTGCCGCTGCCTCAGCATGCAAAGCCGCATCCAATACTTCAAGTCTGTGATCATGCCCGATTTCTCGTATGGCTCCAATGCCTTCTCAGCATCGCTGGCGGGTAAGCACCTGGACCGTCTCCAAGTTCTGCAGAATCGTGCGGCTCGAGCTGTGTACGGATGCTCGCCGCGCACCTCTGCCAGAAACCTGCTCGTCCAACTCGGCGCCTACCGTGTTCGGGAGATCTTCATCCAGAAGCTCATCTTCCTGGTTTGGCGCTGCCGCTACTCCCGTGCTAGCCCTACACTGCAAGTGCTGTTGCTACCAACCAGTGGCGCTCCTACTCGGCTGCAATTATCTATGGGTCTAAGACCACCGCCAACCCGCACTGAGCTGGGTAAGGGTTGTCTACTGTTCCAAGGAGCTAGGCTCTGGAATTCGTTGCCCAGCGAGGTACGGGCCATACCGCATGCGGCCCACTGATTTCGCACTGTGCTGCTGTTCCACACAGCATGAACCTTTGAGGTCAGACGGATCACTATCGCCATATTTTCATTATGTATGTACAAAGACAAGTAGGGATTGATGAGGAGAGAAATGGGGAAAATCAACTGCAATGTGGCAGAATTCCGTTGATTGCATAAGCATGGTCAGCTGTAAATTTCCTGAGGGCAGCTTTGAACTTATAGAGCGAGGCTTCCGATGTTAGACTGGAGGGTAAACAGTTCCATAGAATAGCAGTTCGGAACATGAAGAGAGACTTAGACAATGATTTAAATTTGGGAAGAATGATTTTATTTGGTCGTCGCTCACTATTCGTAATCTTGAAATGGAAATCAGCAAGGTAATCACGATGATGGAAAACATATCTGTGAAAAGTAGTGAGACTGATGATTTGACGACGATAGGCTAGTGACTCTAGGGAGCATTTAGAATTTAAGACAGATTTGGAAGAAGTGTAATCAAATGCAATTTTTTTCTTTTTCAGTAGAGCTCTAGCAAACCTTGCCTGTAATTGATCAAGAGTGGTCATGGGTTTCTTATTAGATCCAAACGACCACACCGTACAGCTATATTCGATCACAGGTCTTACGAACTCTTTGTACAGTATGATCATTGCCGAAGGTGTAAGTTGCTGGGACATTATTGACAGTAGGTGCACTCGATATCTGAATTTCGAAGTTATTGAGGCGACATGTTTGCGGAAATCCAGGTTGTCGGTCAAGGTGATGCCAAGATGTTGCAGTTCGGAAACCACCGTTAATGGCTCATTGTACATTTGGTATTGGATTCCTGCAGTAGGTGTATCATTGATAGCTCTATGGCACAGCACGGATGTCTTGCTTGCTGAGAATTCACCTCCATTGTTCCTGCCCCATGTTTGACATGCATCGAGATCAGACTGCATGTTCGCTCTACTGGCGAGGGTGTCTTCAGGTTTGTAAGCCAGTAGGAGGGTGTCATCATCTGCAAATGGATATTGTGTGCCATGTTGCATAGCGTTGGGCAGGACATTTATATAGACGGTAGGAATAGGAGTGGTGAAAGGTGGGAACCTTGAGGCACTCCGCAGTTGATGTTCCGCTTCTTCGATTTAGTGCTATGTACCTTCACTTCAATTTGTCGATCCCCTAAGAAGCTCTTCAGCCATTTTACTGAAGAAGCTGTAGCAATCTTACCGAATTTCTTTAGGAGTATAGAGTGGTCGACCCGGTCGAATGCTTTCCTGAAATCTAGAGATATCAGGTCAAAATTAGTGCCATTATCAATATTTACAGCCATTGATTGGGTTAGCAAGATAAGTTGGTCCGTTACAGACTTGTTGCGTACATATGCGAATTGACCTTTAAAAATTACACCATGGGTCATCAAGTATCGAAGTAGACGTTCCGAGAGAATCTTTTCCATTAGTTTTGCTATGTATGGGGATATAGGCCTGTAATTGGTAGGCTCTTTGGCACAACCTCTATTCTTGTACACCGGTATTACGGTGGATGATTTCCAGGAGGACGGGAACACACCATCATCAAGGCTGTAGTTGAACAATACTGATAGTGATTGGGAAAGGATGTCTGCGAATTGCTTTAGTATACGGTTTGTCAGGTTGATGTCTGATGATGATTTATGTTGTCGCAGCCTCCTTGCTGCACCGAAGACTTCAATAGGGCGTATCTTTCCGAATCCAAATTTGTTTCCATCGACGTCGGCTTCATTGATTGTCATACTAGTTGCTGCAGTATT